TCTAGTGAAAAATTTCCGAGTTCAAAGGGTTAATATTCTGTTATAGAAGCTTCCTTAGAGTAATTGATAAGGGAAGTATGATCACTTAAGCGGTTCTTGTCGCATAATTAGCTGATATGCCATTCGGTATTTATCTTTTATCGTATTTTATCTCATTCGAATACAGGTTTACTTCAAATATGCCATGTACACGAGTTAGAATTGCATCCTGTTTAGAGTTCAACTGTTTCCTCATTGGATTCGGTTGAACCACGGATTAAGTTCACGTGAAGTTCGGCCCGAGTTCAGTCTGAATTACATCTTCAACAGGTGTGGATCTTTCGTATGATAATTACGTTTGCATTCACTTAGATCCATCAGATTCCCTTCAAACGGTGAATCTACATTCTAAATTACCACGTTCGAAATTCAACGTAACATTAAACAATAACTAAACGTTCCCAATGCAACTTGAAGAATTCCGGAATTCTTCAAGAAAATTTATTTGCAGCTGATCTTCATAACTGAAATTTCACGGAATTTTTTCTACGCGATCACGAATCTTCTCGCAGCGTTTCGCGAAATAGATTTTTCCATCGTTCGAATCGGCGACGTGCAAACCGAAAAAAAGGCTACGGAGCCGCGATTGTTAATTGTAAAGGAGGGAGGCTTTCGAACAGCGAAATATTTACGCAGATAACGAATGCGCCCGCACGAGAACATGGTCGGTTGTTCGATCGGACTGTTCGTTCCAGAATTAATTTCCATTGCCGCGGGACAACTTTTAAATGAAGCTTTCGCCGTTTTGTAAACTACTGGCTCCGCTCGTATTGATTCGCCGGTGAATGCGCAGCGCGCGGGAACGTAACATTATCACGCGGAAAATATGAACGGAACGGAATACCCGGCCGATTGCTATGGCGAGACCGAAATGACGGGCGCAACAAAAACAGAGGCAAAAACGGGGAATAGGTTTCTATTGTCTCACGTATCCTGCGCTTTCTAAATCGAACGAAAATACTCGGTATTTTTTATAACGTGCGCTGTTGTTTTTATTAACGATCGAAACGAATTAATGATTAGAACGAAAACCAAGAACGAACGGTACGTACGTGTTCCCGTTAGTTTAATCGAGAAATTATTCTAACGGATGTTGTGTTTCTACGGATATAGATTCTATGCATCAAAACAGTAAAAAATGTTCGGTATTATAAACAAGAAATGTTTCTTTAGTTGAATTGTCAGTTGATAAGGAAACTGTCTCGCAGATATTTGATTGGTAGAGGTGTTTTATTAAGAAATTCGTCGCGTCGGGAGTTCATACGGCCGCCATATTGGAAACTTGTCTCGGAACATCGCACGGTCGAGTTGCGGAGCAAGCCGTTTCTCCGTTTGCAGCTAGGAAACCCGGCCACGTAAGATTTTTAAGGAAAGAAATATAGCTGCATTTACACCTGATGAAGCACGGTTCTTCTCGGCGGAGCTGTGGCTCGAAATTTACGAGTCTTGTTTGTAGAGTGTTGTCTCTGCACCGAGAACATTCGTAAAAGATTTCTCGCTCTGCGCGATCTCTTTCTTCAACTCGAATCGGGACGCGTTATACTTCATCTTTACGATCGTCGGTTCTCCGTGAAACAGGAATTTGCCGAGTATCAAAGCGAGACGTGCTCGAATTTTTATTTTGTCCGTCGATAAATTGTTTCACTTGTAAATATCTCGGAAATGTTATCTTTGTATATTGTAACGATCAAATTAGCCATGATCGTACTGCAGTGAGATTTATAGGATTTTCTTTTGAACAAAATTGAACACTGGGCCAAGCATTGATTTAAACGTCCGAAATGTTTTATCCGTTTTCGTACGATACTATTTGTTTGGAATATTCTATGCTTCGGGTTCGAAGAAAACGCAGAATGCTCGTTAAGAATTTAGCAGATGCCTATTCGATCAACCGATTTCACTCTATTTTTACTCCCTTGTTTAATGATAGAAGATCAACGTGTAATCGATCATTCAAGTGAACCTCTTTCTTGATGTATTAACTTTAAATTGATATTTCTAGAACGCCAAACACATCAATCGTGTGCATGTATTGTATGTACGTATATACGCACGATCACAGAGCAACAGAGACATGCACTAACACGGACATAAACAACACAGACATAAAACGAAAGTTTCCGTTAAAATTGATATATATATTTACTAGTGTTCTTGTTGATTAACTAATCTATGAAATATCACAGAGAAAAACGCAACTCTAGTGTGAACTGTACTTCAACAACAAATTTCGGAAATTTCCCTCTATATTTTCCCAAAGTTAAAAATTCCCGGAAAAAACGTCAGTGCACCAAAGGATCGTTTTCCATGAGAGAAATACTATTTGCGATCTTGACGTTCGAAAAATATATTCGCTTCATTGACAAAAGCGAAATTCATTTTAAATCCTTCCATGAAACAACCAAAATTAAGATATATATATATATATATATATATATATATATATATATATATATATATATATATATATATATATATATA